GTACTCTCTCTATCTTTAATCATCCAATGGTTGGACTCTCTAATGGGTCTTTCTCTTTCCTTCCTTGAAGAGGAAAAGATTCGATTCTATATAAAAACCATTGATTAGTGAAGCAAGCTGTCACCCTTATTGCAAGTTACTCACAGAAATCTCATTGTCGAGTTCAATGAGCGTGAGCCAATTTTAGCAACTGGAAGTAGTTGGTGAGATGTTTATGGCAACAGGGGCTATTTTCTCCTAGTAAAATTGATGTTTGAACAAATTATATATATATATATATATTTTTTTTTGACATGACATGTTTACTCCATTTAATAATATAACAAATAACATATAAAGCCTCTTATTCTGAAATTTATATATAGCTCATTTAATTTATAAATTACAACGTATCCTCTTAGAACTAAACCGTTTAACATCCATACCTTTGATCCTTTGTAAAACATGCACTTGTGGCCCTCTGCTGTTCCATGTGCACTAAGTATGGCTCATTCCATCCCATAACCGAATAGCACCATCTTTAGATGCAGTAACATACATGCTACCAGTAGAAGAATATCTCACGTGATATATGGCTCCATTAATACCAATCTCTGGGGGACTTGCAGATAGATAACATTGGAATGTACTAACATCGATCGTACAAGTGTACTATTGGATGATCAGTGCCTGCAAGAAGCAAATCATTATATATTATATATTACCAATGTCATAGATGAAATATTCTGTAATGAACGACTATGCACAGACTATTTTTGCACTGGCTTTTCTGTTCAGGAATTACATATTGCACTTCGGATTCTGTCTTATAGAAATATGCAGTGACCACAATGTTTTAACAGCAACAATCATAGTAATTGCTAGGCAAAAGAAATTTTAAAAATAAACCTTTATTTTACACATTGATAATTAGGTTCACCATTACAAATCAGAACTAGACATTTTTTGTTGCAGTGATCTAACAAACAAAAGAAAACAACCAACAATAGTATACGTGTGCGTACAAGCATTGCTCACAAGCATATTGAATTAACTTCCCTCACTTGCACTTTTGCATGAGGAGAGACAAAAAGTTTACAATTGTTGATGAAAAAAGGATGGCGATCACGAATCCAAGGAGTCCCATTTGATAGAGAGCTTCCACCAAATGGATCGTATATGCGTACGGGTCATCTCCATGGGAAACAATGCAGCCGCCGACCTCTAATCTACAGATCAACGTAAAACACAACTAGGATAAAGTTTCTAGCACGGAAAGAGGAAAGAAAGATTCAATCCTTTCCTAGTAATATATATAGTGGCGAAAAGCCGTCGTTCAGCTTAAGTCCTGGCTCGGAC